TCTGAAACCGCTGTTGTCGCACATGATACTAAGGCGCGCAAGTGAAAAAAAACTTAGAAAACCGCAAATTACCGCAAGATATCGTTACAGATTCTTATTTAGGAAGCTTCCAGCTTTCATTTAAGCCTACTTGGTAGATGAACCGAGATGGAATTCACAACTTTTACCTTACATAAACATTAAGTACGTTTATAGTTTATATCTCCATTGTCAGTTTATATCAGTGTTAAAGATAAACATTATGTTAAAGATAAACCTTTTGATGTGGAACCTACATAATTATTAGACTAAAATATCATAAAAAATGCCAATAAACCTAGATAAACATAATAGTTAAATAATAATTAAGAAGTATTATGTTAAACTTCGTTGACCGTGGAGCGTTCGGAATTGCTGTTGCCGCACGCGCTAATAGGGTGCGCGTATGCACAAAAATGTAAAGAACTCAAAAGACCGCAAATTACCGCAAGATATCATTACAGATCCTTGTTCGGGAAGCTTCCAGCTTTCATTTAAGCCTATTTGGTAGGTGAACCGAGGTGAAGATCACAACTTTTTCCTTCCATAAACATTAAGTATATTTATGGTTTATATCTCTTTCCATATCAATGTTAAAAATAAACATTTTGTTGTGCAATTTGCATTATTATAATACTAAAGTATCATATAAAAAGCCGATAATAGTGAATAAACATAATATTTTAAAAATGATGAACAACATTAAGTTAAACTTTACCCGGAGAAAATTGATTTTATAAAATGTTCAACTTTGGCGGCTTATATCTTCGAAACGATAATAATAAAATCATTAAAACTGTGAGAACAGTATGCACAGATTTCTTATAAACTAGTTCCACTAAATGGATTTAAAAAATTGCGATTTTCATTTTTTGACTTTTGTCCATGTTTTCGCCGTTTTTCGCCACTGTGCGTCGCGCAGAACATAACGAACGGAACACAGTTAGCAGTCGAATTGAGTACAATTTCCGAGAAGTCAATCACTACGTTCGGACTCACTTTGAACTACTGCTCCAAAGTTAAGTCCGCAGAGCAGCGCGTCGCGAAGAATCGTAGCCAAACGAGTCACGAGATTTACGACCTCGTGGCACGGAATTAAAAAATCCGTGCGATCAGTTCGCGGCGCGAGTAACTTCGTACGAACGGTTACAACAACACATTTAGGCTCAAATGCTTCAAATTTCATTTTGATGCATGATTCAAATATTCCAATAATGTTTTTATGGTGTCACGCTTAAATAACCGCAGACAAAATAACCGCGACAAAATAACCACGACAAAATAACCGACGACAAAATATCCGAATGACAAAATAACTGACGACAAAATAACCAAACGACAAAATAACCGTGTTGGTCTAATGTCGAATAAACACACACAAAAACCATGATAAAAAGGCACAACACGGTAACAAGCTTATGTGTTGGCGTATATTTCAATAAAAACACACAAAATAACTACGGATTTTTTATAAACTATGATGTTTTGGATAAATTTTGGATAAATTTGGATATATTTATGTGTCACTCTCACAATCACATAAAAATTGTTATGAAAACTTTGAATATAGTTTTCTATCCAACGTTATTATGTTATTATATCATTATCTTTGAATGATAATTAATTTAATAAAATTTCGATATGTAACAATATTTTGTTTTTTATGTTTAATTTTAAAATAAAATATTTCGAATATAAGACGTAATCTTTAAGAATTTATAATTCCCACTCGATTTGATTGTAGTGGCGCTCTCTATCATCATTAATATAGGTAAGTAAAACCGACACCATCCAACGAATTTGTGTGTGTTAGTGTCTCGGGTGTTTTCAGACTACGTCATATTAAGTCACATTCTCTGGCAAAAAGTATAAACAAGTTATTTTTAATGATATAATTGTTTATTTAAATAATTATCATTAGATTTATTTGTTCTTAAAAGTGTATTAAACTAATATGTCATAATAATGCCACTGCAATTTATTATTTCCAACAAAGGAATAAAACAGCTGCAATTAAATGGGTACATATTTAACCTCAAAAGTAGAAATCAAAGTAGCATCACATAGCGTTGTAAAGCTTATTATTCTGATGTTAATTGCAAAGTTACTGTTCGTACTGATAGTGATAAATGTACTGGTATGTTTTATAAAATATTTATAATATTATTTCAATTATTTATTTGTTGATATTTGCTTCTTATTTATCTTATTTTATAATTGAATAGGTAATGTTATTGGTGAGGTGCTTATTCACGATCATGCTGCGGACATATCTTTTGTTGAAGCCAAAAAAGTATTAAGAAAAATCAGTAAACGTTGTCGCAATAATGATGATCCACCGGCGTCGGTCATTGAAAATGTTCTTGCGACGGTATCATCTCCAGTAGTGGCTCGCTTGTCAAAAATGGTATCAATGTCACGTAATATTCAGCGTGTACGTAAAGCAAATGTTGGAAATGATGATATTTCTGTTGCTGCTGCTGCGAAGTCTTGTCAAGATTTAAATATTCCTGATGGGTTTTTTGTAATTGAAAAAGGCGAAGACATGTTGCTTTATGATAGTGGACAAAATAAAAATCGTATGTTGATATTAACTACTCAATCAAATTTAAATTGTCTCTATGAATCATCTCAATGGGCTGCTGATGGTACATTTTCATCTGTACCAGTAATATTTAAGCAGCTATATACACTTCATGGATAGAAAAATATGAAAATGTTACCGTTAGTATATATATTATTGTCTAACAAGAAAAAGCATCTTTATACTGAAGTGCTGACAGTCTTGAAAAATCATATGCCTACTTTGGAGCCTACGAGAGTGATGCTTGACTTTGAAAATGGTTCTTTGAATGCTTTCAAGATAGTATTTCCAAATGCCAAAATTATTGGATGCTTATTTCATTATTCTCAATGCCTCTGGAGAAATGTACAGTTAACTGGATTACAGCGCAAATATAACACTGATACTCGTTTTGCGTTGAATATACGCATGTTACTCGCTTTATCATTTGTTCCTATTGATGATGTTCGTAGTGCATTTGATCAACTTGTTGAAACGAAGTATTACAAAGATCATGAAGACGAGTTACATGGAATTCTTGATTATTTTGAGCGCACTTGGATAGGTGTATTATCTAGGAGTGGCAAATCACGACTAAAGCCATACTTTGCATTAAGTCTATGGAATTATTATGAAGCTGTTATTAATGATTTGATTCGGAGTAACAATGCTGTTGAGAGATGGCACAGGTCCTTTAATAAAAAAGTTCGTGTTGCTCATGCTAGTTTTAATAAATTTATTGATGTAATAAAATCAAAGCAGATTAAAACTGATGTATTAATTACGCAAGCTGACACTGGATTAGGCATTGCTAGTAAACGTAGACGTGAATATGTTGATTTGGAATATCGTTTGAAAAATATTGTTTTATCATATGATCGTAATAAAATAATTAAATATTTACATGATATTGCGACAATTCTTATGTTGTAAATTGAAAGTTTTTCGAAAAGAATTTGCTAAAATGTTTTATATTTGATATCTAAAAGTAATATTAATGATACGACTGTGATTATTAGTTATTGACTAAGTTTGTTACAGAAAAAAATGTTTAATACTAGATTCGATAAAAATTCATGTGGTAGTTATTAATTGAAGACATTAGTTATCTAATAAAAAATGTAATATGTTATATATTTTAAGTAACTAACAATTTGATAAAATGTTATATTTAGTATATGTTAAGATAATACAAATGATATGACTGTGATTGTTAACTATTAACTGATACAATAATTATAAGCTAAGAATCTTATTCAACATAGTATTTAATTTGTTCTAATGCATACTTGGTAATTATCAAATAACTGTGATTTGTCTATATTAATATGACTGTAAAAATATAATTGCGACTTATGTTATAATTACCGAATAAGAATGAAAATAATTTAATAGAAAATGTCACGTAAAATGTCAATGTAATAAATATGTCATAAATATGTAATAAATATGTTGGTTGAATATAATTAATATGTGGTGTTATAGTGTTAAACGATTATTTTGTTATTCGGTTATTTTGTCGTCGGTTATTTTGTCTACTCAATCAAATTTAAATTGTCTCTATGAATCATCTCAATGGATTGCTGATGGTACATTTTCATCTGTACCAGTAATATTTAAGCAGCTATATACACTTCATGGATGGAAAAATATGAAAATGTTACCGTTAGTATATATATTATTGCCTAACAAGAAAAAGCATCTTTATACTGAAGCGCTGACAGTCTTGAAAAATCATATGCCTACTTTGGAGCCTACGAGAGTGATGCTTGACTTTCAAAATGGTTCTTTGAATGCTTTCAAGATAGTATTTCCAAATGCCAAAATTATTGGATTCTTATTTCATTATTCTCAATGCCTCTGGAGAAATGTACAGTTAACTGGATTACAGCGCAAATATAACACTGATACTCGTTTTGCGTTGAATATACGCATGTTACTCGCTTTATCATTTGTTCCTATTGATGATGTTCGTAGTGCATTTGATCAACTTGTTGAAACGAAGTATTACAAAGATCATGGAGACGAGTTACATGGAATTCTTGATTATTTTGAGCGCACTTGGATAGGTGTATTATCTAGGAGTGGCAAGTCACGATTAAAGCCATACTTTGCATTAAGTCTATGGAATTATTATGAAGCTGTTATTAATGATTTGATTCGGAGTAACAATGCTGTTGAGGGATGGTACAGGTCCTTTAATAAAAAGGTTCGTGTTACTCATGCTAGTTTTAATAAATTTATTGATGAAATCAGAGCCAATTAAAACTGATGTATTAATTACGCAAGCTGACACTGGATTAGGCATTGCTAGTAAACGTAGACGTGAATATGTTGATTTGGATTATCGTTTGAAAAATATTGTTTTATCATATGATCGTAATAAAATAATTAAATATTTACATGATATTGCGACAATTCTTATGTTGTAAATTGAAAGTTTTTCGAAAAGAATTTGCTAAAATGTTTTATATTTGATATCTAAAAGTAATATTAATGATACGACTGTGATTATTAGTTATTGACTAAGTTTGTTACAGAAAAAAATGTTTAATACTAGATTCGATAAAAATTCATGTGGTAGTTATTAATTGAAGACATTAGTTATCTAATAAAAAATGTAATATGTTATATATTTTAAGTAACTAACAATTTGATAAAATGTTATATTTAGTATATGTTAAGATAATACAAATGATATGACTGTGATTGTTAACTATTAACTGATACAATAATTATAAGCTAAGAATCTTATTCAACATAGTATTTAATTTGTTCTAATGCATACTTGGTAATTATCAAATAACTGTGATTTGTCTATATTAATATGACTGTAAAAATATAATTGCGACTTATGTTATAATTACCGAATAAGAATGAAAATAATTTAATAGAAAATGTCACGTAAAATGTCAATGTAATAAATATGTCATAAATATGTAATAAATATGTTGGTTGAATATAATTAATATGTGGTGTTATAGTGTTGAACGATTATTTTGTTATTCGGTTATTTTGTCGTCGGTTATTTTGTCATTCGGTTATTTTGTCGTTCGGTTATTTTGTCGAGGTTATTTTTACTTTGGTTGAACTGTTACGCAACCTCTTTTATGATGCATCCTAGCTACCAACTAGTTACATCACCACATATCAAAAAAGTTTAAACTTATAATTGAATATAACAATCTGTTGATTATAAATGAGGAAGAAACGCAATATATTTTATAAATAATTCAGAATTATAAAAACCTTTATCCTAATGCATGCAAATGTATATTAACACAGAATACACAGAGTGTCCCAAGTTTTTCCAGCCAAACTTTGCCAATGTGTTCTACACGTGTGACGAATACGTCACGCCGTCGCGCACCGTCAACTGCATTCCGTCAACTGCGTTCCGTCAACCACGCACCGTCAGCCGCGCACCGTCAGCCGCGCACCGCGAGGTGGGGACCCCCCACCGACATCCAATACTAAGTACTTGGGTAGCGATCGATCGAAGGATCAAGGAGTTGGCTCGGGGATGCGGCCTCGACAGGACCTCTCCGCAGCAGTGTTGGGCAGTCCCAGTGCATGCGCTGTAAGCTATCCGTAGAAGTCCTCAGTAGCGTATACACTTTGATGAAATATAAGGTATCATTAGGCCCTAGTGAGGAAAAAAAAATAAATTTGAAGAAAATTGCAGGAAAGAGAATAAAACGGTTTAATAATACAACAGATTATATATAATAAAAGTAATATTAAATTTATTTATGATTATTATTATTTTTTACGTTTGCAGCCGATTTGTTATATGAATTCCAATATTTGTTGCAAGAGCAAAGGAAAAAGATACCGCTCGATTTTTATCAGATCTATGCATGTTAACAAAATAAAATCCATGTATTTCTTTGTTATTGTTTCTCTGATATTATAATTTTCACACGTATAAAATATAGTTATTCAAAGAGGTCCTTCCAAGTTGCTTTTCTTAAATAATAAATTCATTTAGTGTTTTAAAAGTTATTGTGCTTTTGTGTTATTTTAAATATAATAATCTCCCATATTCCATTATATTATTCCCATTATATTATATTATATAATTCACGATATATATATATATAGAGTTGTATAGTTTTATACAGTCATGTATATAACTAACCTAACCCAGCCTAATGTAATCTAACCCATCCTATACATTCATAGTTTACAGTGCAATTATAAGAATTTTTGAAAAATTATGTAGGATCATTAAGGTGCCCTCATCAGTCACTACTGCGTGTACCGGCTAGGTACGGCATTGGCAGTAAGCTGTGACGTCACCTGACGCATGCGCATAAAGCTTTCGCGTGAGATAAAATCTCACGACTGCCCAACACTGCTCCGGATGTCCTCTCTGAGGCACTAAAGCTTCCCAGTCTGCGGATAGCCCCGGGCTGGCGAGCTGGAGGCCGGCGTCGCGTCGGTGCGACGGATAGACCTCGTATCGGGGCTGTTCGCGCCAACTCCAGGAACAAATCTCGGTAATATTAGTAAGAAAAAGGCAGGCCAGAAGTGGCCATTAACCTGGTGTTAATTACTCTCCTACCCTCCTCCTCCTCCCTGACGCGAGTAGACCTAATTATAATCCATATACTTTTCATTATTTTTGTTGTTATTGCTATTGTTATTTGTTAATTTCATTTTTATTATCGTTTTATTGAATAAACCTTATTGTTGAAAGATATTGACCTGTGGATTTCACTCCTTAACCGCGCAGAATATTATTTCGATTGCAATCTTCTATCCAAATCATCAAACATTTTTCTGTTTTTGGCATTAGTGAATCTTTTACACGTGAAGATTTACTTAAGGTCTGCAACGATCTAGACATTACAGCACTCCTAATTTTACTTTCATTTTGTTTAATTGTTCGTATTGTTGACTCGTTTAGCTCCAGATTCTTTGCTATTGCTGTTGGTTTCTTACCATTATTTAGCTGATCCAAAATATCAATTTTTTGTTGTAGAGAAATAAATTTCCTTTTTAATTTAGGCTTTGTTTCCTTTTCACTTGTCATGGCTGAGAAATAAATATTTTATTTAAAATAAAAATTATGAAAATGAAATTTCTACACCTTTTAGTAGATATGTTGAGGTAAATTGACTGGTATCTTCTTCTACGCAAGAATGAGAGGCTCGGGCAAATTAAACGGACATCACGTTCGCATGTTAACGGCGACTGGGGCGAAGAGACGCGTTAGAGAAAACAAAAGAATATTAATTTAGAAATGAAAAACGCAATATGGATATAAACTGCGAAAAACAAATAGCCTCAACAAGATATAATCAATGTTCTTACAATTCAAAAACTAGGAACACAAATTAAATAGAATAATTTAATTTAATTTTATAAGAACACAATTGACACAATGTGCAAACTTACGTGAAATTGATTGTGAACTATCAAATTATAAATTTCGCACTACAGAAATATAACGTAGGGAATTCCCGCGTTATATGGGGGGGGGGACACGTGTTATACGAGGGACATGAAATCGTATTGTATGAAAACGCGTTATAAGAGTACCGTGTTATAGGGGGGATTACTGTATGCTGCTGATGGAAAAAAATTAGAAGAGACTGTATTATCGCTCATTGAACCGTATAGGAACATGTGGCACCATATATATGAAGACAATTACTACAATAGTATCAACATGGTTAAAGTCTTTTAAAAAATAAAGTGCGAGTGTGCGGGACAATTCGAAAGAACAGAGGTCTTCCTCAATCACTCCAAACGGCCAAACTTTCAAGAGGCCAGCATGAATTTCGTAGAGGTGACCATATTCCATTGAAAGTATGGAATAATGGCAAAAGAAACGTAAATATGATCTCGACAATACATTCTGCATAAATGGCGGGATCTGGAAGCAGAAGTAGGACATCAGATTGCCTCATACAGAAACCTATTTCAATAATAGATTACAATAAATATATGAAGGGCGTAGATCGCGCAGATCAGTATCTGTCCTATTACTCCGTTTTTAGGAAGACAAAAAATGGACGAAACGTGTCACAATGTTCTCTATCAACTATGCACTTTTTAATACCTTTAAAGTATGTACAGTTCTAAACGGAAAGAAGATTGCACATACAAATTTTCTGCACAAAGCGGCACTTTCATGGATAGAAGATTGCGAAGCTAAAGAACAAGATAAAGATCTACCTAATTCCGAATCCACAAGAATCACATCCCGATTTGATCATCCCGGAAGACTAGCAAATTTTGGAAAGCATAAACGGGCAAATATAGTGACCAGTGGTCGATGTCAAAAACCCTTAAGGCAATGCAGAGTTTGTTCAATTAAAAGAAAAGAAGCAGAACAGGTTTCATCTGTAAATTTTGCAACGTTCCATTGCACAAAGGTGACTGTTTCGAGTGATATCATACTTTAAAAAAATAGTAAACAAGTTCTTTTTCGAAAAATATTGTGTAACGTAGCCGTTTCCTCCACCGGCGTTGCTAGGTGGCGTACGCGGCTTACGGACTCCCTTGTGCCGGACGCTTCAGCGCGCCAGGGTCAACGCGAGGGGGCCGATCGCGGAAGGAAGGGGACTGGTTGCGGGTAAAAGAGAACACTGGAGTTAACGTTAACCTATACTTTATTATTATTTGTATCCGCCGGGGGCGCAGGTGGAGTCGCCTCGTCTTCTACAGTCTTCGGTTTCTATAAGATACAGAACGGTGTTAGATGAGTCGGTTTTACAATATGGCGGCGGTGGCGGCGCCGGTCTTACAAACTAACGCTTACAATATATAGTCTTACATACTACGCACTTATATACTACGCTATCCTATCCTTACATTCTATCTTACATCTAGATCCGACGCGGCGTTCGCGATTCGGTCGGTCGATCGGTCGGGGAAACGCCTCGCGGAGTTTACGGGTCGGTCGGAGGAACGCGTTCGCGGGCTTCGCGGTACTTATACTACGGATCGGTGCGCGATCGAGAAGAGGAGGAGGGTAGAAAAGTAAAGAACACAGGGTAAGTGGCCACTTCTGGCCTTGCCTTGCTCTTATTAAAACTGAGATTGTGTTCCTGGAGTTAGCTTCTCGGCGGTCCGGCAGACTCCGCGCCGTGGCCTGTCCTCCGACGCGGCGTCCACCCCGGCTTACCTACCCCGGGCCTGGCCGCAATGATAGAGAAGTCGGTGGATCCACGGCCGGTGGAGGTGCCGAGGGTTGGTGTGGCCAGCCCCGGTGCGTGGCCTTGCCTCTGCACCGGCGCCGACCTCCATCTTTCCCAGCCCGAGCCTTGTCCGCAGACTGGGGAAACCGAATTTGCCTGGAGCGGACCTCCGGAGAGGTCCTGTCGGGGCCGAAGCCCCGATCCAACTCATCAATCACACGATCGATCGGTGATTAAGTGTATCGGGTGTCGGTGGGGGGTCCCCACCTCGCGGTGCGCGGTCGACGACCCGTGGCTGACGGAGCGCGGCTGACGGAGCGCGGTTGCCGGATCGTGACGTATACGTCACAAACTTAAAGAAAATCAAATATTTGTAGAAATTAAAAATTTATAATGTTGCTTTCGTGTGATATGTTCTGAAACAGCGAACGATGCTCAGTGGCACTTTGCATGTCGGACACCAATACCGAGAGTCTTTTCTAATTTTGTTTTTATAACAAATAGAACATCTTCAGGGTGGATTTTTTGTTGTTGAAGTGTCTGGTATGTAATCCGTGAAATGTTTGTCGATCAAAGGTGAAACATTGGATGTCATTGGGCGAGGTTCTGATGATTTTTGTGATTCGATGGGATACGATGCAACTGTATCCTCAATATATTCTAATAAAAAGTTTACTCTGTTTAATTTTCCACCATTTTTTTTATAAATTAAATATGAATTTAAATACATAACATCTAAAAGGTGGAGAAATATTTTTTTATAATATTTCTTTAACCTTTTTCTTGCTGTTGAGTATGCAATAATTATGCCATCACTTACATCCACTCCACCCATTTTATTATTGTAATCGACAACTACTTCGGGTACTTTTTTGATCACGTTTCTTTTTTCTATCTCTACGATGTGGTGGGGCGCGGCTGACTGCTTGTGACGTATACGTCACAATTGTTATATGGATTATGGTATATTTTATGTAAATATTAAACTGAAAACGATTATAATAGATAAAATAAATATTGTTTAGCACTAATATCATTAAAATAAAAAATTTTATTAAATTTGGTTATCCTATAATAACATAAAGCGTGCAATTTTACCACAGCATAAGAAAAGCGCATATATTCCCGCGTGACAGTCTAAGCCCTAAGCCGAAACCGAGCCGGTGTCCGGCATAGGATTCTTGAACCGCTACCAGTCGGTCAAGTGTTAGAATCCCCTGCCTCGAGTAATATAAAACAAGTTAGGCAATTCATGAGTATGGTCAGTTTAGAGGAACACGAAAATGCGCGGCAATATATATTAAAGAAATTAAGCACAAACCCATTACTTGTAATTTTCGACTCAAACAGAGAAACCGAATCGCAAACAGATGCAAGTGCATTAGAATATGGAGCTATTCTTTTTCAAAAGGTAGATGGAGATACGAGGGTAATGACATGTTTTAGTCGCCGCACTACACCAGCAGAATTATCATTCTTACGAACTTGAGACGCTTGCTATCGTTAGCGCACTAAAGCATTTTCGTGTATATCTTTTAGGCATTACATTTAAAATAATAACAGACTGTAATGCTATTAAAGCAACGGAAACGAACAAAGACTTGTTACCGCGCGTAGTAAGATGGTGGATTTTCTTCCGAGACTATGATTTCCACATCGTTTATCGAAAAGAAAAATATGTCGAGCATGTAGACTATCTTAGTCATAGCCTTCCTGACGATTATAGAGTTAATGCTGTCTGTGAGGGATATTGGTTAGAAACGGCTCAGAAAAAGAACGAGGAAACTCAAAGTCTGATTAAGCGAATAAACGACAATGACATTATATGTAGCGATTTTAGCGTACGTGAGAATATTTTATACCGTAAAATACTTTTCGATTCTAGACGAATCATTTACCGTAGTTTTGTACCTAAGGGTAGTAGACTTGGTCTGCTGTGCCTCTATCATGACAAAAATTGTCACGTGGGATTAAATAAAACATTTGACCGGATTTCTAAAAAGTATTGATTTCCAAACATGATATAGCGTCGAAAGAACACTTGAAAGAAGTATTAAAAAGAGTATAGTGCAATATAGAATTTCACTTTGTTAAAAGTTGTCAATACCCAATATATTACGTGTTCGAAACGAAATATATATGTATACCGATTTTTAACCGACTTCGAAAAAGGAAGAGGTTACTCAATTCGATCAGTATATTTTTTTTTTTTTTCCTATGGGTCATTCCACGCCAAATCGATCACTTTTGGAAGTCACCATCTCCGATTTTGCTCTAATCGAAATATATTGTAGTCCATGTGAAATTAGAAGGGGTTTAAGTCATTATTTTGCCGGTTTCAAATTTGTTAATGAATGACAAGCCGTCAAAGTTTGCAATTTTTGTCCATTTTGGCGAAAAAGGGGTACACTTAGGAATTTTGTTCTCAGAAACTACTCAACCGATTTAGCTAAATTCTTTTTTGTTTTATTTATGAAAGATTAGGCTATTTTAAAATATTTTTTCTAATTCCGTTAATTTGTTATAA